GGCTTTGCAGTCTGGCACATTAACCCACAGTGCCACACCAGGATTCCAGAGCTCCTTATAAAGACCCCTTATTAGTGTGCAGCTGTAGGTTAAGCACTGGACCACAAGGTCGGTTTGAACCACAAGGTTGGTAATTCAAACTCACCAGCTGCTCCTTGGAAACCCTATGCAGGGCCACTATAAATCAGAACTGATTCAACACTTAACATTTTATGGAAGCTGATCACGTTTTCCTCCCTCAGAGGCTCTGAGTCGCTTCCAACCACCCAACTTTTTAGTTAGCAGTCTAGTGCTTAACCATTGCATCACTAGGCTTCCTGAAAAGAACCCTGATATTAGGAACGGGAATCTCGTTATCTAAGTTGTTGAGATACAGTATGATTAAGAGTCTAGAACCCTTTTGTGTCTCTTCCAGGCCGTGAGTTTCATCAAATCACTTAGCTTATATTCCATTTTCTTCCCTGTATAACACTCATCTGTCAGTTTGTCCTACTGTGGTGGCTTGTGTGTTGCTGTGATTCTAGAAGCTTTGCCACGGGTATTTTAAGTACCAGCAAAGTCACCCATGGTAGACAGGTTTCAGATGAGCTTCCAGAAGATAGACGAGGAAGGAGTGACGAACCACTTCTGAATATTTAGTCACTGAAAACCTTATGAATAGCTGAGGAACACTGTCAGATATAGTGCCAGAAAATGAGCCCCTCAGGTTGGAAGGCACTCAAAATGTGACTGGGGAAGAGCTGCTTGATGACGCGAATGGAGTAAAGCCCATGGGAGTAAAACCTTAGAGACCTTCATTTGCTGATGGGGCACAACTCAAAATGAAGAGAAAGAGCTATTAAACATCCATTAAAAATCAGAAAATGGAATGTACGAAGTATGAATTTAGGAAATTTTGAAGTTGTCTAAAAGGAAATGAGTGCACCCCTCTAAGACTGAAACTCAAAGGGAACACACAAACAGGCATGTAAGCTTGCTGGTGACCACATTGGTCTACTGGTGAGTGCAAGAGGGG